CGGGGCTGCCTTCCCCGGAGGCGCTGGGGGTCGCATTGCAAGGTGGGCGGCCAGGTGGAAAAGCGGTGCTGGGGGGTGAGGGCTGAGCCCCGACCCCTGCAGCCCAGGGTGCTGCCCCCGGCGTCGCCGCAACCTCGGCAGCTCTCTGGGCGTCCGGCAGGGCACGGGTGCGAAGGGAGAGGCCGCTGCTGCCCTACCCTTGCCCACCCCGTCCTCGTCCTGCGTTGGAGTCGGGCGCGGCCGGGTGAGTCAGCGCCGTGCCGGGGGGGCGCCGGGGCGGGGAGGGCCCGCCCGGCCCTACAAAACCCCGCCCGGGCTGCCGCGGGCCCCAGCTGCTGCCAGAGCCGCCCGAATCGCCGCCAGAGCCGCCCGGCCCGCCCCAGCCAGGTGAGCCCGAGGCGGCAGCGCGGCCCCGGCAGCGCAGCGGGAGCGGGGGAGGCGGCAGCGCCGCGGGGCCGGGCTGCGGGCGGGGGTCGCGCCGCGGCAGCCGCGGCTGCGGCGGGAGCGGAGCGGGCAGGATGCGGAGCGGGGCGGCGGCTGCGGCGGCCGCCGCCCTCCCCGCGCCCCGCTCCTCTTCCTCCGGCCCTGCCCGCTTGTCACTTTTCTGTGCTCGGTTCCACTTTTCTGGCCCTGCCCGCCTGTTACTTTTCTGTGCTCGGTTGGGACGGTGGGGCTGCGGGCGAGGCAGCCCTCGGGAAGCTTCGTGCGCCTCGCAGCAACTCTGGGTGGTGTGGCGACAGCGCTCAGGAAAGCGGAACCGGTCCCAAACTTCCCCCGATAGTAATTTCTTCTCGTCGTTAAGGTACACAAAGGCTCGGCTGGCTTGACCATAGTACTGTAAGGTCGTTTCTCGGTGCGGAGGCTTGCAGAGAAGCGGTGGCGGCCAGCCAGGCGCTGTTTATTCAGTTGGAGCGAGGCTGTAGTTGCTCTCGCAGGCACGGCGGAACCCCGAGCCCGCCAGGGGCAGCGGCCCCTTCGGTTCCCTTCCCTCCCCTTCCCTTCTGGCGCAGGGTGCGGCCGCGGCTGCCGGAGGCGCTGCAGCCGCTGGCTCGGCAGCAGGAAAGCCCAGCGGGGCAGTGCCGGGCGGGCAGCGCTCCCCGGGCGTTGCCTTTGCGCTCCCGCGATGGCCGCGGAGCCCCGTGCGCCTCCCGGCGCGCACGGCCAGCCCTGGGCGTGGCTCTGCCTCCCACCCTGCCCGGCCCTGAGCAGAATTGCAGAGATCCTGCTGCTGGCCACCACTTCCCCCTCGAGTGAGGAGGGGAAGTAGGGTAGAGGAATGTTGACAGGTATTTTAACTGAACGAGAAGTGAAATGATTTCAGCATAGTCACGTAGAAATATATAAGCAGCTGTACTTTACTTTTACTTCTGTTTAACATTAGTTCTTATGTTCGTATTCAAATGCTTTATCTGCACAGAAGTGCAGACCCCGATGTACAGGTCAAGAGTGAAAGACTGGAACCAGTGTGCCCTTGAGTGATTCATCCCTGTGTCTGCCCTCTGCTACTAGAGCTGGTTTCATAAACAGCCCTAGTGCATAGAGTTTCCATTGGCCAATATTTGGTGTAGTCTGCCTTGACGAACCAAAAAAAAACCCCAAACCCAAAGAGGTTTTCTTGTAAAGTCTCAAAAGTGAGAATAACTTGAGTTTGAAGAAACAAAAGTCCTTAATTTTGTATGTGCATGGTATCTTCCTGGAATGGAACTTCCTGGGTTATTTGCAATGTCTGTGGAAGAAAATGGTTCAAGAATGTTTGTGGTAGTGCAGTTTAATGGATTTTGAAATGCTTTTCTTTAAATAAGATTTTTTTTTCTCCAAATAGTGGCTTTAAGTTATGTGCTAAACCTTATTGGGTGATTTGGGGAGATGCAGCCTGGCCTATTTGTACTCCTGCTTAGCACTGTATATATATGAATTATTTGGAGCCCTTGTTTCATTTACAATAGATGCTGCAGGTCTTCTTCACTCTCCCTCACCTCTGTTAACAGGCTTGTCCTAGTTTGTGGACACGAATGTGCTCCAAGTGGAAGAGTTTCCATTCTCTCATTCCAGGGATGCCGTTTGCTTGGCTCAGATGTCTGGGAACACCCTTTGCTCATATCTCTCCCTAGTATAATAAGTGCTTCTTAAAATGCTAATTCTGCTTATTGAGCAATGCAGTTGTTTGTGCCTACCTGAAACTTTTCCATGGATCACAGGGGGATTTTCCATAATGTGTGTGAGCTGGCCCTGGAAATCAAGATATGGGGCCGCTTTTAAACACATTCTTCTGTTTCCAAAGAGTTTCAGGGATCAGTTGGTGAATAGAGACTGGGCCACTATAATAACAGAGCTGTAAACCAGTGCCTTCTGGGAAGGCTGAGGTCAAAACATGCCATCTGTTTTAGCAGAATAATATGATTCAGGATTGTGTAATGTGCATTTAGAAATTGGTTGTAGAAACTTGCCTTAAGGTATTGAAGTATTAGTTTACAGCTGGAAGGTAAAACTTGATTACTTTCCAGTGTAAGGAAGAACAGGCTAGTGCAAGTATTTTCTCTTTACATGTTCAAACCCATCCAGGACTTGTCAAAACTACATCAGATAAAATCAGTCCATCAGAGAACAGTGAGAGTCTGTTCACAAATACCCTGCTTTACAGAACAGGGTGTGACAAGAGCTGTGTTTGGTCTCTGGGTAAAAAAATATCTCTCTGTAAGGATTCTTGCAAGAACTCCCTTTTTTTTCCTTCTGCCAGCTTGCAGTTGATGGGCAATCAGTTGCTATAGCATTGCTGTGTTCTGGTGATATGAACCTGGAGTTCCAGCTCTATGTGAGGGTGTGTTTTGTTCCTGGATTCTGATCAAGTGCTTTGTTCCAACAAACCTGATTCAGTGTGGTTTTTACTTGATTTAGAAACAGTAGTCTTGCAAAAAGCTGTTCAGTGATTTTGGTTTTTTTTTCATGTGAAAGGTTATGCTGCAGTTGCTTTCTTCAGCTCTCACTGATGTTTTCTCTGTGACAAGAAGGACGGAAGGACTTTAGTTGCTTATCTTTGGTAATAGTTGAAATACTGTCAGAGTGCAAAGGTCTCAGAGGCTCTTCATTTTATGAAGTGTAAACATTAGGAATTTCATAACTCAGGAATATATATCAATCCCCACTACCCAGCATGGTTTATAATGCCAACAGCAGGTAACAGCCTGTCTTTAGAGGCCTGGGTTGGATTCTACCCCTGAAAAAACATTTATTCTCAAATGTATCAGTGCATGACTATAATTTTGTTCTTGTTATTTTTCTTCCCCTGGAATCTTATTTTTTGTCGAAATAAAGTTGCTTTTGTTACTTAGAACTAGATTGTTTCAGAAGATGGAAGACTCTCTTTCTGTGTTCTAAGTGAGGAAATGTGAGATAACAGGAGTTAAAACTACAAATGTACTGTGATTTTGCTGCTGTGTTTTATTCCCGTAGCACTAGCTATTTTTGCCAAATGTAAAGCTTTCTTAGCTTTTCTCCTTACAGGAGCTAAAACAAACAAACAAAACAACAACAGGAACAAAACACTTTTTCCTAGAGTTTTAACCAGATCACTATTATCAAGAAACTATTTCAAACTTTTCTGGTTCTCCAAGCTCTTAATTGCTCATTTATGGACAGGAGATTGGTTTCTCTGGGCAATTGGCCTGGGTGGCTGCTGCTGAGGAAACCCCATCCTATCAGAAAGGTGACTGATGGAGGATTAAAAGCCATCTGAAAGCCAGATGAGAGAACATAGCCAGCCCTGGCTGCACAATAGCTGGGAGTTGTCTGGGGGGCATGGAGCCAAGGGCTGGCCTGGGGAACCGGTGACAGTGTGGAATGAAGGGCGTGGCACCCAGCTGAAAGCAGGGAAATTTTGGTATCGGGCTCACTTACCAGCTAGTGGAACGTCTCTGGTTTTGAGGTGCTGCTGCCCTTTTTCCTGTCCTCTCCTAAACCAGTTTCCCTGTTTGATAATGCTCTCTGCAGCTGGACTGTAGAGGTCCTGGGAAAAAAGCTTTCATTTCAACAGCCATCCTGGGTGACTGGGTAGCAGTGTGTGTAGCAATGTCTGTCCTTTACGTAGAGAAATTTGAGAACAGGGTTTTGGGAATGCATCAAGCCTTTTACATATTGCCCCTGGCTTACAACCTTTGGAAAAAACTTCCCCTGAGAGACTCTTTAACTAAAACAGTGATACAGCTCTGGCACACTCCCTGAACAGAATCCAGAGTTGAAAAAAGGTAAAGTATTGTAACCTCAGTTTATAACATCAGTGTTTATTTCTGCCATGTATATAATTCATTCTCAGGCTGGGATTTTCCCTGTTGTTTTCCAACAAGGAAGATGTTATTCAGGTTGTGGCAATGGAACACTGATATTGATTAACATGCCACAATGGCTCTTCTTTTTTGGAGCTACCATTTTAAGATAGTCCTTACCTCATCTCTGATAATCGTGTTACTAAGTGGTGTCTGTTCTGGAGAGCTACAACAAAACCACAAGACACAGCATCCAGGGTTAAAGATTAAACAGGGTTATGATTTTGTAAAATGCCTACAAGAAAAGAAATAATTCCACTGCATTTCCTGAGTACTTGAGGAACTGGGTGTGTGCTTTAAATGCTACTACTCTTTGCTGTTCTTTGACTTTGAGCTGGACCAAGCTATAATGTTTCTGAATTATTTTCCTGGTATTGAGTTGTCATCTTAGGCAGCTCTGTTTCTGAGGCAGAGATTTCTCAGATTCCTGTTTGAGTATTTAAAATGCAGAAGAAATGCTTGTTTAAGGAATTTTTATTGTACAATGGAATGAAGACCTCTTGTTGCATTAATAATGGTGGTGTGGCTTGGAAACTCTTAAATCTTCTTTCCTGCTTGGTATTAGCAGATCCACTGGACTGTGTCACTTGAAGTGCTGCAGTGCTTCAAGACTGGTGGAACACACTGATGTAACTATAAGTATATTTAAATCTACTTTGTCTTTTTTTTCTCTTCCTCCAGCATTCTTTCAAGATGTCCACTGTTCATGAAATTTTAAGTAAGCTCAGCCTTGAAGGAGATGTAAGTATTATTATCTAAACAAGACAAGTTTGTTTTACTTAAATGTCCCATCTTGTTCCTTTTACATGACTGTGCCAACAATTGTACTGGGCTGTACAATTTACAAGATTCCACACATCTCTTAAACTTTTATTGGCTAAAAACCTAATCAGCAGTGATCAGTTTTCATCCACAAACCAGCTGTAAACCACAGGACAGTTACATGATTTAATGAGAGTTCTTCTAACTGGCCAGCAGCATGAATAGTATCTTCCTGCTGGGCCTTGTTAAAGAGATCACAGGGCAAACAATGGGTGGTTTTCATCTGTGTCCCTCTTTCTTCCAAAGAAACAAATTAAGGATGAGAACAGAAGACGGAAACATGTTTGGTTTTGCTGATGCCCTCTGAATTTCTTCTTTTTATTTCCAGTTAAAAATGGAGAACATTATGAGAACAAAAATATTGTGGATCTAATTCCTGTAATGGTTATCACCAAAACCAAGCCAGCTCTTGAAAAAAATTATTTTCTCAAACTTATTTTCTGTGTTTTTCCCCACATCTGCACTTGGTTTATAGTTTTATTGAGATACCAGAAAGCCACAGTCTTTGTTTGATTTCTTAAGTTGCAGTCAGATGATAGATTATCAGTGTGGTATCAGCATATCATACCATGAATTTGTGGTTCTGTGATTGTCTCTGAAGACGAAGTGAATCCTATCCATGCATTATTTCATCACATTACTAATGAACTTGCTACACATACAAATCTTACAGCTAGTAGCTCTGGATCTGAGCTTGGTACAAGGAAATGTTTTGCCAATTTTTGTTACTTGTTGCGAAATTAATTATACCAGACTATGTTTGTGGAAGAGCTGTTGCAAAGAACTGGCCAGAGCAATGTAAGTTAAGTAGTAAAACTGGTTTTGTAGTGCAAAAGCAGTGAAGTCTTCAGTTTTCATGGTTGTTACAATGGAGAATTACTTTTGGAATAATAATTAAGCAATATATTCTCAAGAGCAGAAATGTTTCTTCCTTGATTCTTTCAAGTAGTTGCAAGAGTCAGATTTGAATACTGTTCCATGGCAGCATTTCCATAGAAATCCTGCTGCAGTGTCACAAGGCTCAGGCAGCCAGTTTGTGCTCTAAGTTGGAAGCCAGAATTACTGAGTAGCTGGCCTGTATAGCTCTGCAGCATTAGACCAGTTCCTCTGAGCAATGATGTAGCAAATTAACTGATGTTCAACACAGTAGTTGGGCCAGCAATTAAAATCTTAAAATTTTAACCTTGAGGGTATAGAATGGTTGTGGCTGAGCCCCAGTGCTGTCCTGTGCTCTGCATCAGTGGTAGAGCAGCTGATTTGAGTGAGCGTAAAGGACCTTCCTTTCAGGACAGGATGGAGTTGAGCTGAGGTTGATCTGTGCTTCCAGTTTCTGGATTTCTCCACAAGAGTACAGAAAGATTCTCAGAATACTCAGGTGTAGAGATCGTGAAAGGGTTGTGGTATTTTTAGGTTAAATTAAGCCTCTGTAGCTATTAGTGATATTTGCTTCTCCCTCGTGTTTCCCAATAGGATTAAATTTCTCAAGCTCAGAGGAAGTAAAGCAGGTGGAGAACCTCTGAAACACACTAAATGCATAGGGAGAAAACCAATTTCTCTGCCTTAGCTTGGCCCAGACAGGTGGTGCAATTGCACATTATCTGGACTTTTACTGCCACTTTGTAAAGAATTTTATACTGAACTAAATGGAAAGTCAGTTTGAAAGCTGTCTTGTCTGAAAACATAGAGTACTAGTACTGTGGTACAGTAGTGTACCAGAGTAATTAAATAGCTTGGAATTTAAATGGCTGCTTTTCATAGGCAGTCACCCTGGTAAGACCTGTCAGGTGTCAAGGAAACTCAGTCTGACTTGGAACATGCCTTGGGTGGAGGGACAGAGGAGAAATGACCACCAAATTGCAAATATGCTGTGGATTTTGTTAGTGTATGCTATCATCTTTACAGTAAACTATTCCATTTTTCCAACTACTCCAAATCACTCAGAAAATATTTAGAGCTGGGTGGAAGGAGAGGTACCCAGCTCAGATAAGGTCACCAGTGACTTGCTTCAGATGATGCAGAGTGCAGGTTAGGGAGCAGTGCCCCAGGATGGTGGATGCCTGGCTCAGGAATCTTTCAGGCACACAGATTTCTCTGAGGCTGCGTTGCACGTCTCCATTTACTGTTTCCATTGCCAGCTTGATCCACTAAAAGCAAAGCCTGTGTTTTGTGGTGTGGCTCTGGGCCAAACTGGGGCCACTTTGCTGGACTGAACTAATGGCAAGGGACAAAAGAAAATGATTCAGTTTATTGGTGCTTTTTTGACTTCCCATCTGCACAGCATAAAACAGACTGTCTCCAGAAGGCACAGGGGTAGCTGCCAGAGGAATCTGTACTGAACAGCATGACCTCTACAGGGATGGAGTCAAAATTAGTAAGAAACCACGGAATTTTTTAGTTCAAAGTGTTCCTCTTAAAAATTTGCATGTAAAAAAATTTTCCAGGCATATTAGGATAGCTTAGTTCTGTTCATGAACCCAGCTTCCTTTTGGAGTTAGAGATGGAAACAAAAGTTTCTCTGGGGATGTTTTCCAAGAAGGCTTGTTTATTCATTCACTTAGGAAATGGCTGTTGCAATTTCAGGTGCTAGTAGCTCTACCTCTCTGCCAGAGGTTTAGGTTTCTAAATTGAACTCAGCAGAATGGGATTTGTGAATATTACCCAGCTGCTTGTATGAAAATCTGTGGTTTAATTTAACTTTCCCCTGGGAGGTGATAACAAGCTGTTAGCTTGCACTGAAGCAGCTGAGAAGAGTTGAATCTCTGTTCTGGTCACCCTCTGCTTGCAGCGCTAATCCTCAGGAGAGGACCATGATAAACAGCTGATAAAATCTGGTAAATTGGAAAATGTTGCATCTGTTAAGTGAGCTTACCTGGAAGTCCTCTTACTCTTAGCAGAGGTAATTTGAAATGTCGTTTGGTTTTGCAAGCCTCATGCTGCTTAAAGCAAGGATCTGGAGGCCAAGAGTTTCAAAAGATTATGAATAACTTTTGCTTTCTAGAACTATGGCCTTAAATAGATTTGTTTTTGGTGTTATCTTTAAAGTTCATGAGACAGTGCACAAAACTTTTTCTGACTTTATAATTGTAATTCTTCGATTTCCTTCTTTTTTCTTTATTATTTGTAGCCTGTAATCAAATATAAAATAGCAGCTTCAAATCTAAACTACCATAGACTTTAACTTTCTTGGAATTAGCTTCCTGTAGTCATTTTTCCTTCAGATCTAGCCAGAAAACTCCAGATTTCAGAATATTGAAGTTTAGTGAGTAAGCTTGGAAGGTGTTGGGGTTTTGCTGCAATAAATATAATATCTGTTTGTATATATTCTGTGTTACAATAAGCATGGCTGTGAGTGGATTTCTGGGCAATACACATGAGGAGAAGAGACTTCAGTGGCTCTGAGTAGAAATCCATTTTCACATATAGCTGATGGTAGTTCTTGCATTTAACCATTGGGCTAAATACCAGGTAACCATTTGTTTTATTAATTGCACAGTTTGACTCTGAAGAGTTTTTTGTTCTTTTCCTTCCAGCATTCTCTCCCTCCAAGTGCCTATGCCACAGTGAAGGCCTACTCAAACTTCGACGCTGACCGGGACGCTGCTGCCCTCGAAACGGCCATCAAGACCAAAGGTGAGCACTAGGGCCAGGGGCTTCCTTCCTGGGCTAAGCACAAGGCTGGCTTGCAAAAGCCAGAGCAAAACTGTCTCAACACCAACATTTTGACATCCTTACTCAAGTATACCTACTTTAGGAGATGTTGGATTCCTTGAAGTCTTGACCAAGTTAGAGTTTGAAACCTGTAAGTGCGTGCTTTGAATATGCTTTTAAGTTTGTGGCCATGAGTTGTTGAGATTTTCACTCAACAACAAAAAGTGTCCACTTTTTCTCTCTTGACTCATCACTACTTAAAATTATTCTTCTTTTCTGCCACTTGAGAATGAAGTGTCAGCTCCTTTGGCAGTGCTTTGGGAGTGGGCTCTGAATCATGGATTTCTACTGGATCATTGGATTGGACATTTCTTCTACCTTTCAGCTCTCCAGACAGCTGCACAGGGGTGGTTTGAACTTTTTCCTCTTGGTTTTTGAACTAAATACTCATTTCTCTTGTATTAATTTGGAGTCAAAGAAGGTCCTAAAAACTAGTTTCTGGAATGAATTTGCAGTATTTCAGGAGCAGGGCAATGTGAGCTTCTCTGAGCTGGGATATTAGATAGGCTTCCCTCTGGTATATTGAAGCCGTCAGAAGAGCAGGGAGTGTGAACTACAGCTCTGAAGTAATGCCTCGGTGGCACTCCTGGGGCTCTGATCCTGTCTTGGGACAGGGAGTGCCATGCTTTCCACACTTGCTTCAGACCAGAGGAGCAGGAGCTGCGTGTAGCTGGAACCAGCAACTCTTTTGCTTTCATGTCAGGGAGAAATTTAAAAGCCAAACAATTTCTCATCAGAAAGAAATTCTAAGACTTCTATCAGTGCCAGCAAAGCATGTGTTTGACTTGCTATAAAATGTAAAATATATCCCTTCCATAACAAGCACAAGGCATTCTTTCACAAGATTTTTTAATTTAACTAGAGAAATTCCTTACTAAAGTGGGTTCAGTTCTAATTTTGAATCATTTATGGTTTGTTTTTAAAAAAATTCCCTGATGAGTGAGTTATATATATATCATCAGGTTTGGCAGCAGATACTTTGTATATATGTAGAGTTTTGTCTAGACTTTATAATTTTTTGCAACTCTGATTATAGGGCAAATCTAGACATTTCAAATACACCATGACACTCTCAGGGTAGGTACAAACTTACATACTTGAACTCTCAAGCTGCTAATTATTGTAAAAGGAAATTGCAATCTCCTCGGCAGTACAAAAGTTTTTCCAGTCAGGAAAGTCAAGCTCATGTTGTCTTTCCACTTTCTCCCAGCAAATTAAGCAGTGCAGTTAAGTTACATGGCAACATTTCAGTAAAGAGATGTTTTTCAGTTCTCTGAGGGAATAAGGAACTTACTCATGGACCTGCATGTTTGTAGGCATGAACTTCTCTCTGCTTATTAGTTTGTTCCCCAGAACTTACTTTGGAAAGGTGGCTTTAAAGGGAAAATCTCTTTATGGTTTTGATACTGAATTTCCACCTTAAAGAATCTCACAATGGAAGTACTCTTGTGGAAAATTAAGTATGAGAGAGTTATGACCCTTCTTCCAGGTACTGTTTCCTTGCACTTTGAATGCTTTGGAACAGGATATTTTCATCTGCTAATTCAGAAGATATGATAACATGTGAGCTTTCTAAAATATATATATAGGGTTTTCTTCAAATGAAAATTCCAACTCATCCAGACAAGAACTGGTTTTTATGAACAGTGATGTAAAGAGCTATCTGCAAGAATAAGTTTTGAAATAATTCTGGGAAATATCTAAGCAGTTTTTGAACTAAAAATATCCATAATAAACTGGCTACATCTACAGCAGCTACCATTTTCCTAGGAAGTATCACCATTTCTCTAGCAATTAGTTTGCATTGGATATGGGAAGTAGAAATAAGCCATGTAATTATCACAGAGTGATGCAGAGGAATATGACTTGTTCATTTTAAAACAGTGAGAGAGGTAAGTTATAAATATATATGCAAGCTGGTTTGTGGTTGAAAATTAAAAAAAAAAAAGCATGTAAACTGTTTGGGGGGGCTTTACTCTCTGCAGGTTAAAGGGCACCTGGTATCTGAACCCTTGTGCTTTCTTTGGGTTGGAAATCAAGGTCTGTACAGTTATAATGAGCCTGTTTTTCACACTCAGCAAAGCAGTCTTTCCAATAGCTTGGAAATCATAGCACTGCCTTGGAAATGATATCTTGTGGAATCTTATCTCTGGCTATACCTTATATAAACAGTGCCTGAAGTCTGGTGTTTGCCATCAGGTCAGGCCAGGTTGGGAGAGTTACCATATAAACAATTATATGGTAATGAAAAGTCCCTGAATTAGAGTAATGAATCTCCATTTTAGCAATTCTTGTGTAAAATGGCTAAAACTTATTTTTCTGCCTAAACAACAGCTGTATATTTGGTTTAGGGAAAAGATCTAGGGCAGAGTGTGTGACTGTTCTGCTCTATGTAATACCTAAGTATTTCAGCATTCTTTCACACTTTTCAGATTAATTCCTCAGAGGTTTCTAAGCCATCTGTTCATCTGTGGAGACCTCTGGAAAATACTTTGATGTGTTTATTTGGGCTTAGGTCTACCTGCAAAAACTATACTGCACAAATATGTTGTCCAGCCCTTTTCAGGGCTTTGAGTGGAGCTGAATTAAATGCAGGGGGTTTATATATATCCACCAGCCTAGGAAGGGAAATGTCCAAAAATAGGTCATATAGAACCTTGTAGTTAACAGTTGTTCAAGCTAGAGGTTGCTTAATACAAATAACTTGTTACAATTCTGGCTTGTTCCTTTTGGTATAAATGCCATGGCTATGTTTATTTTTTTTGCTCTTTAGTGTTTCTGCAGAAAATTCATTTAGTGCCTTGCCATGTCCAAGTGTTGGCTTTTTGCTGCATAGGACAAGAAGCTGTGTAATTTCTGTATAATGCTCTACTGTGCTCTTTGTATAGATTAGCTGATGTACATGAACCTAAGCAGAAGAAACTAGAAGGGCACTAACAGAGCTTATGTTAGATTTCCTTGCCTTTTTTTTCTTGTAGCAAAGACAACTGCTGAAGTGTCTCTTCTGTTTCAGAGTTATTTCCTGGCATTTTGTGTGTATGGAGTACTTGTTAAATAATTCTGTCAGTCTAGGTTGTGCATATTTATTAATTGAAGCCTCCTATTGAGGTTTCATGGGATACTTTCTTATTCATGGCTGGCAGACTTCAGGCACAGGTTTGTTGTAGGAAAGGGCTTAGAACATAGATCTGTAATACATTTATTATATCCAGAAATTGCTAAAACAATGATGACATGTGAACCAGTCAGTTCAATCTTAGATCTTCTGTTTATGTAGTATATGCCCATAACTTCTGATAGAGTTTTTAAGATTATGAAGTAAAAGTTTTTAGAGGATATTTGCTGGCTTGCCGGTGAGAGAGGGCAGTGCCTGAAATCCACCAAACTACATCAGTCACATATTCCAGATATTTAAACTGTCCCTAAAGAAGGATCTCATTACAATATGGTTTGGGTTTGGTGAACCCTTGCGAAGCAAAATAGCAGAGCTGAAATTATGGTCTTGTTTTATCTAAAATTTTCCCTCTGACTCCATTGTTGCTTATTTCCTCATTTTTGCTGACTGAGCTCCAATGCTGTGATCTTACCAATGCCACCACACATCGCCTCTTTCACAGGAAAAGCTGTTATTAAGCAGAATTTTTCTTTCCATTCCCCATTGATAGAAATGCAGCTAGCCAGAATAAACTTGAAAACAAATTCTGTTTCATTGCTTTGAAACTTTCAGAGACTTTAGCAAACAGCAAAGGAAAGTGTTGGAGCTGCTGTCCTGCTCTGCCCCACCTCAGCAGCTGTGAGTCAGCATCCTGTGCGTGCAGCACGATTCCCCAGTGTGAATGAAGTACAAGCCTCACTTTCCACTGGATACCAGAGCAATGAGTTAACTTCAGATTTCCATGGCATGTGTATGAGAAACTTGGATGCAGTCAGTCATTTGTGGGCTTCTAATCTGAAGCAATTGTGCTACAACTTGAAAATGTCATTTGCTTTTTTGAATGCCAGGAATGGTTTAAATTCAGAATGTATTAAAAAGCTTAAGACATTGGCTTGTACTGTGGGCCTGCAACAGCTGAAAGGCTCAATGTCTGTGTGTGGCCGTTTCTGGACAGGGAGAATTTGTTATAATGTGGGAACACTTTAAAGTGTGCAGGAGTAGATTATGGCTGAAATGTGTAGTCAGCCTGTTTTCAACTTAGAGTCTGTAACTTAGACACATTATACTTTCCAGGCCCTTATGGCATCATTTGCAGGCCAAGCTTGTGTGAATAAGAGCACTGATGTAGGTCTGCTTCAGCACAAGCTAAGGACACAAGGCTACCAAGTGTAGTATTTCCTCATGAAAAATGTGAAGAAAGAGAATTTTTGGATTTGACTTGTAATTCTAGATTCTGCAGCTATGGGCTAAAAGGTTTTTTGCAAGATTCCTACTTTATATGAATCCTTTTATAATATCAGTTGCAGTTCTTTGTTTCAGGTTACTTTGGGTAATAGGAAAAAGAAATATAGCTGAATTCTGGCAGGGATCTGAGTCCTGCTAGTAGCTGCTGATCCAATCCTTACTTTCTGGGTTTTTTTATCAAGAAATTATCTTTTACACTGATGGGTGTGCAAGTGTGGAAGAAGCGATTCATAATACTTTCATTTAACAGAGAGAGCTCAGGTGAAGATCTGGGCTTGTTCTGACCTCTAGATTAGAGCCACCTGTTTGGTTCAAAAGCTGACAGTTGCACTGAAGTGCATGGATTTGGAATGGTTCCCTTGAAAGTAAACCCTTGCTGATGTGTAGTTCACTTACTTAAAAAATAAGTTGGGAGTGTGAGCATCCACATCCTCTAGGTATGCCAGTTACAGCTCAGCATGGATCTTCCATGGTTTTCAAAAAGAAGTAGCACCTACTTAATTCTTCCAGTGTCAAAATACCTTTCTGTCTTTTGGCCTTCTGAAACTTACTGACTTAAATATACTGGTTTATTTTCCTATTTCCATGTCTGGAGTGATGGATTAAATGGCTTAAATAGAATATATAACTGCTTCATTAAGAAGTCTTAATTGAAAAACTCCACTAAAATGACAGGACAGGCTTTAGTAAGTACAAGTTTTAAAGTCTGTGTTCTTGAGCAACTTTTTGCAGAATTCTGAGTGCTTGAAAACTAATGCATGGACACATAAGTGAAGCACTAGACAGAGTGGCAAAGATGGTCACAAACTAGACTTTGAGGTGTGTCTAAAGATCTGCAGCCCATCAGAAGTCTGGTCTCTAATTGGTGGCTTTTTCCTCATGGCCAGGACAGGATAAACACTAACTGGTGAGAGCTGCTGAGCTCTGCTCCAGACAGCACGTGCTGTGTTTGGAGTGTTGAGGAACATCCTGATACAAGAACAATGACAAGAAAGCTTCACTAACTCTCTGTCTTGTGTCTTTGTAGGTGTGGATGAGGTCACCATCATCAACATCCTGACAAACCGCAGCAATGAACAGAGGCAGGACATTGCTTTTGCCTATCAGAGGAGAACCAAAAAGGTAGTAAAATATGAAGAAAATAGTAATTATTGAATATTTTTCTTGTGCACAGATTTGCCAGGGTTTGTCTTGTCACTGAAATTTAAGATGCATCTACTTTGTCCATGCTGTCACAGTTTAGGACTGGTAGAACTTTGAAATATGCACAATTGGGACTGCAATCTGTGGGAGTTTGTGGTTTGCTAGCACCTTCAGAAATCACAGTGGAATCCACAAGATTCCCTGGTGAAATGTGCTAAAAATACTGAGAAATGCCTTCATTTGAAGGAAAAAATTAAAGAGAGATGCTTTAGGGAATTGGTGGGGTTTTTTTCCTTTTGGTTGGTTGATATTTTTTGGGGGGATGTTGGATTTTTTTGTTTATTTTTTTAAGACAACTCAGCATAAGGGAAGTGTTCTGTTTCTGTTCACACAGCTAGCTTTGCTGAGAAAAGACTGCAGTCAGTTGTGCTACGAGCACTGCAGCTGTGGAATAGTGGTGTAATGAGTTGAACAGTCATTAAAAAATTTCCTGGCAGAAAAACCTTAGGTACTGATCTATTGATGGAGAGAAATCTGTAAGATGTGTGCAGAATTCTGCAAAATGAGTCTGGGAGGCAAGAGCTCTTCTCTTTTGAAGTTTTGAGAATCTTACCCTGTTTGAAGTTTCATGCCAGTGAAAAAGAGGGAACTTTATATAGAGTTCAGATTATGATGAATATATCTCTTCCAGGTTTGCCAGACCCCAAATGGTAGTCCTCAAGTAGCATCCCAGAATACTCATCTGAGCCCAAATGTAAATGTAGAGCTAAATTTGGGAGTTCACCAGCTTTTCTGCATGACTGATAGAGGCATATGCAGAGGCACAGCCAGGTTGAACACGTGCATGTTTGCACACGCCTGCACATCCTGCCCTGGGGACATTGGGACAGTCTGCACATAAATGGACCCCAGTCATGAAATGTATCACTTAAAGTTTTGTTAAGTGTTCTGCATGACCACAAAAATGCACAGTCAAGAAAATCTGCAACTTTTTTCATGTTTCTCTCTCACTTTTTTCCCTTGCTGCGACCCAAGAACAATGAATTTATCAGAATTTATCAGAAGTTTAACAAGTACCAAAGAATAAAAGTCGTATAAACAATGGAAATGAGCAGTAGAAACCACTCAGATAAACATGAGAGGAGGAAGTGGGATATGAAAAGACACGTAGGTATATCTTCTAGGGACAGTGTCTGATGGTTTTCTTTGCCAGCAGTTGTGCAGATTTTGTTAGCAATGTGTTGTGCTGTACTAGGCTGCTTGCTTTGTGTGTTGCAAGATCTGTGAGTAGATCATAGTTTTTAAATGCCACATAGTCTACCTCTCTTTTAATTCCATTGAGATAAGCAGTGTCTGATGGAAACTCTTGGTTTAGGTTGGATGGGAATTTCGGTGCCCAAGATGGGCACCTTCCACTTGATCAGGTTGCTCAAAGCCCCACCCTGACCTGACCTTTTAAACATTTCCAGGGATAAGTCAGCCACAACTTCTCTGGGCAACTTGTTCCTTAAAATTTATTATGGAGATTTGTGCTGTCTTTCCTGTGGCTGTTCTGCAGAACCTGTTTTCACCCAAAGAAGGGCTGGAGCATTGTATCCCACATGGAGTGGTTGTACTAAAGTGTTTCTCAGTCTAAAGCAGCCAAATGCTCCAAACCCCAATTCCCTCCCTTGGTCAATCCATGCAGTAGGTGCATACAGTATTAGCATAAATTAGTGCCCTGGATTAAGAGGGTGACTCTAGAAGTTAACTAAATGCCTTGGCTCGTTATCTCTCTAGCACAAATTTCTCTGCAATTGAGCTGGGGTCACTTTCTCTACTCCCTTTTCCCCTGCCTCTCCAGCTCAGTGATAGTTAGTGAGAAAACTGAGCAACTGAAATGCAGCAATTCCCTTCTGAATGCTACAGATTTAACTTCATCTTAGGGAATACATGGATCTGTGTGAACCTCAGACTTGATCCTGGGGATTTCAGCTTTGTAACATAAACTACAGCTGATAAACTAGCATAATTCAGGTTGCATCTGAAACCCATATGGAGACATGGCCTCTGACTATTTGGTGCAGATTTGCATCCTCTGCAGTGAACATCCCTGACTGTTTCTTTTCCTAGGGCTGACTGGCAATTAACAATAGGAATTTAGGCAACAATCTTCTGACAGTTTCCTTGAAGACAGGCTTCATTTTTCAGTGCTCAGGGATGATTTTTTTATCTCCTCAGATAGCTGGTTGGGAACTGGGCCTTACAGTGGAATAAATGTGCAGTCAATTTTCCAATGTCTTAGCAGTAAAGGGCTGGGATAAGAGGAAAACCACATATAATACAGTGCTTTTGGGAAGACTGTGGGAGTATGATGAAGAAGCAGTGACCACAGTGAGTCAAACTCAGATCTATCTGTGCTTATTAGCTCCACCAAAGCATCAGTGCTTCAGGATTGGAGTGAGGCTGTTCAGATGTGTCTGCACCATGCTTTCCAGCACTTGGTCAGACACTGGTGCATTTCTTCTTATTTTCAGAGGATTAGAAAAGGATTCCTTTGCCCTAGTTTGTTTCTTAGGCTTTCACAGCCAGAAAGCTCTTTATGTTTCTGTTTTCTTGTCAGTTGTGTAAGAAACACTGCTGTAGGCTTGGAGAATTAAAGCCCTGCAGGTTAACTTCTCTGGAGATCAGAAGTGAGCTTTAATTTCTTTTCTTTCATCGTCCCATCTATTTTACAGGAACTTTCTGCAGCACTCAAGTCTGCTCTCTCAGGTCATTTGGAGGCAGTGATCTTGGGCTTGCTGAAGACACCAGCACAGTACGATGCCTCTGAATTGAAAGCTGCCATGAAGGTAAACAAGCTTTGAAATTTACTGTTGTTCATCTGATGTTGCTGTCTCAGGAAAGAACATGGACTTCATATCATAATTTTCAAACTGATTTTTTTTTTTTTTTAGTGCTACAGTTTAAATATCCAGCTGCAAGGCATCCAAAATGAGAGAAATCATGGAACTATGTGGTTTCTAAACTCTTAAATACTCTCTTTAAGGAAAATGTCATTCTTGTCAGCTCAGGATAACAGCCTGGCTGCTCTGCCTGGCTGCTCTTACAAACAATGCACAGGTTCATAGTATGAGAAACCTTTAAGAGAGCAGCTGTTAGCAGGATCCATCAGATCCTCTGCTGGCATTTATAGATTTAAACAGTAATTTCCAGTTACTTGGTCATATCACTGATCTGGAAGGAACATCCCTGTACCATACCTGCCCTATGTAGAAGATGAGGCATCAAAAGCAGTCTCTGCAGAAAGAAATATCTGCTCTTCAGGCCTCTGAAACAAGACTTGAGAGGTGCTCATGCCAGTAGAGTCACCTCTGTAAGCAAACTAAGGTGTGGGAAGTTGTAGTTTTAATTATCTAATCATCATGTACATTCTGGATGTTCTTGTTCAAGTTATTTAAGAATTAAAGACAAGTACTAACTTGTGTCTGAAATTTAGAACTTGTCAATGAAACCAATTAATTAACTTCTCCAAATGATTAAAAAGGAGTTAATGAACAAAGAAGAAGACAAAACCACTCTCTCCACCACATAAACACACACACTGCCCCGACCCCCCAAAAAAAACTTTTTAAGTCCCCAAACCCAAAAAGCCAACCCACTATGAGATGGTAACTCTTCAACTGTGGGCCAAATGCCCTGTTTGTGTAATCAGATGCTGCCCTCTCCTGGTCTGAGTACAGCTTATGTATAATTTATTGTGACTCAGACTAGTCTGGGATCTGGGATAAAGACCAAGCAATTTCATCAGAGTAGTCCCAAATGTAGAATATTCTATGCTCTCCGTGGGTTGCTTTTCACAGCTCCTAAGGAGTTCCCATTATTCCTGACCTGGTCTGAATTAGCAAAAACTCTCAATGCTCTGAATTTGCCTGGGCTTATGTTTGGCTGGATACGTAGAGCATTACAAGCTATGACTTTGGCATCAGAATTGAGGAAAGGAAAGTTATAACTGAGGAGTTACTTTTCTGTTGAACATTCTTGAAAATATTTCAAAAATACTTAGAAAATTATATATGCTGGTAATCTTCATTTTTTTTCCCCAGATGCTTATTAGAGCCATTGTGTGGAAAGCTCTCCTAGCGCTCTTAGCTTTAAGCCATGTTAATAAAAATTACTTGGGTTTACTCTACTTTTTTTTTTTATATATATATTTTGGTTTGTCCCACTTTCTTGCCCCTTCAAGGGAGGCATTTTACCCAAAGGGCACTTTGCCACATAATTGCCTCAGTTTTCCACACTTTCAAGACTGCAGCATGAGACTTTTTCCCAGGATGTTACTTCTCTTGAAATCCTGTGGAAACTGTGTCCACTTTTGCCACCTGCAAAATGGCATTCTGTTACAGATGAGTTTAACAAACATCCAAACAGGAGGATAAGACTGGAGTTTCTTCTTGTTCTCCCAGTGGATAGAAAAAAATCACACAGGCCATGATAAGCAGACCTTCTCCAGTTATGCTGGTGAGGAGGTCACTGTTAGACACTCACAGCAGATGCACATTGCCCAGAGAGAGCATCTACAGGATCTTTAAGCAACTACAAATATTCCATCTGTTTTTTCTCAGGAGCAGTTGGCAAAAAATATCCTTGAACTGTTAAGAGTGGGGGAGAGGAGATGTCTGTAAAATGTTTCTAACCATTTAAGCATTCCTGTTCATTGCTAACTCCTAACTGAGTCCCGTTTGTGTTGCAGGGGCTGGGAACTGATGAGGACACACTCATTGAAATCATCTGCTCCCGAACAAACCAGGAGCTCAGTGAAATCAACAGAGTCTACAGGGAAAGTGAGTTTACTTTGCAAGTTTTCATGTACTATGTCTTTTACACTAAATTACTTGGATAAACTCCCCTCAGTGTGAATTTCATTATTAGAAAGGTAACTCAAATCTGCTTTGGTTCGCTGCCATTTTGTACTGGTGCCCTGGATATTTGTGTGGTTTATATAGTTTTTTCTTGTTGCTTGGTAGCAGACAGACTGAAGGCTATTTACTACTAATACAAGTTGTGTCTAAATGAAATTTTTTGGTTAGCTTCCATGAGAGACTGATTGCATGGACCTCGTGACTAGCTGGTGGCAATGCTGGGTTTGGTGTAGGGAAGCATGGGTTTGTTTTCATTGTCCTCCACACCTGACTTAGATTGTAGCTGTTTATGTGCATAAAACACAGTAATTTTTCTTGCAAAAGAGTATTTGTGAGACACCCCTTTGCCTGAAAAGAACTCTTTGTTTTCTAGTGTACAAGACAGAACTGGAAAAGGACATTATATCAGACACATCTGGTGACTTCCGCAAGCTGATGGTTGCCCTGGCCAAGGTAGGACTGTTCAGAGCTTCCCACTTTTTCTAATATGCCTGAGTGGTTGCTGCCAGTGAAATAATTGGGTTTCTGATGCACTCTTAAATTTCCCTGTGTTTTCACTGATCTTGGGGGGGAAAAAATATTCAAATGTTGAAGGACAAAGTATTTTAACAGAAATGCAGCATTCACAGCATTAGCTGTATAATGAGGGTGGAGTATGCAATTACTTATTTAGCAAATTCAGGTTAAAAAAAGAAAAAAACTGAATATATGCATAGCAAACTGCTTCCTTTTTATGAAACCTTTCTAAAATACTGATATCTTGTTTGAAGGGCAAAAGGTGTGAAGATACCTCTGTGATTGATTATGAGCTGATTGACCAAGATGCCAGGGTAAGTGCTGGTAATGACCATGAAATATCTCTAGCTGGTCAGGCTTTTGGGGATATTGAACATACTGTGGAAGTGGAGAGCATTTGTGAAATAGGTGTGTGTACTTCAGATTGTCCTGCACAGTAATGTTTGCATGGTGTCAGTGAATCTGCCAGTTGCAATCTGATGCCTTCAGGTATCAATTTTCACAGAGTACTTACCAACTATACAGAAACTCTCTGGTATTTCTTTTAGATCGAGCCTTTAACAAAAGGAAATGCATCCATTGCAGTGAGTTTAGTGGCTGTTAGTGCTTGTTACGTTTGCATCTGTCAAGAGCAGTTCTGCTGAGGTAAACAGAGCTAAATACAGAGTAAAGCTGTAGCCAGAGGTGAATACAAAGCAATTAGTCTTAGTGTCAGGTTTAGATTCTTAAATGTTGTATACATCTGCAATGGCTTCTTGTGCAACTCCTGATTATTTGTGATTTTCTTTTTCTTTCTAACCCCAGGACCTCTATGATGCTGGTGTGAAGAGAAAGGGAACTGATGTCCCCAAGTGGATCAACATTATGACTGAAAGAAGTGTTCCCCACCTGCAGAAAGGTACTATTCTAGAGACAGACTGAAAAATATAGGAAATCTCATAAATCTTAATTCATGTCCAAGGTGTTAATTTTTAAAGAAAATCTAGTTATTTCTGTGGATGTGTTGATCTCACATTTTAAGTGTGTACAGCTCTTTTTTACATAGGTGTAACAATGCTCAATTACATGTCGCATACACTGAAAACAAATATGTTACAAACCTAGAAAATATGGATGCAGGATACCTTGAGAAGTCCTTTAGTTTTTACCTCTGTGCCAGGGTAGCTTAGCTATATCATGTCCTTAAATCTGCCAGTGAAGACTCAAAAGCAGCTCTGATATTGCTGTAAAGCAGCACATGGGAAAAGCCATTTGAAGACTTTTCAGAGCTTAAATCACTGTTGTTTCAAAAAATAATAGTACAGGATTAAGATGGCATTTTCACAGATTATGGAGATGTTAAAGGAAAACAAAAAGTCCACAGTATGGGATCTTTACAAACTTGTATTTGAGAGTCTCAGAAGGACTCACATTGATACATGTCTCCATATTCCTGTGTCTGTGTTCATGCTTTGGGTGGTTATTTCTGCCAGTTCTTGGTCTGATTTTGATTTCACCTACTTTCTTTTCTGTTCTAGTGTTTGACAGGTACAAGAGCTACAGCCCATATGATATGTTGGAGAGTATCAAGAAGGAGGTTAAGGGAGATCTGGAGAATGCCTTCCTTAATCTTGGTAAGTTACCCTGAAGTAAAGACTGTCATTATATAGGATCTTTTCAGGGCTCTTGTAATGTATCATGATAAAGGTAGGGCCTAGACTAAACCTGCTGGATGAGAAATTAGCTGAATGTGCTGGTGGTGTTGGAGCCACTGGTGAATTTTAGGATATTGAAGGTTTTTTTTGCCGTCTGCAAGATATAAACTTTGCCAGTTAAAATGAAAATGTGTGCGTTGTGATCTGCTGTTAGTTCCACTTTTATTTGATAGAGAGGCTTAATGTTTGTTTCCACAAGCAAACAAAAAGGTTGAAATAGTTCAGTACCCACACAGGCTGGAGGAAGATCAGAGTGTGTGTGAGAGGAGAAGACAGGCAGGCAGTGAGGGGGTGGTGGGGGCTAGTTGGAGAGCTGATTTGACACTGAATTCTCTGAAATAGGGAAACAGGGTGTAAGGCACTGATACTGTGCCATGAGGTGAAATGACAAGGATGTCACTGTGTTTAAGAGGGAGTTCTTTAAGGGGAAAATCCATTTTAGACTAAGGATGTACTGAGAGCTGTGTAGTGCAAATTGAGTATAAACAGAGCTCAGCCTTGAAAAGGAGGCTTCTCGTGGATGATGAGTGTTTCCAGGATCGCTTCTAGAAATGGAACCATGAACTGGGAGCTGTGGAGGAGGGCTAACATTCTGAAATTACACAGTTCTGAAATGATGCAATTTTCATGGAAGAATGACATGCTCACATTCCTAAGAATGTGAGCATCTATGGTTCAGTCACAAGCTAAACCAACTAACTTCTAAGTAGCAGGTCAGGTAAAAATATTTTCTCTATGTCCCCTTTTTGGTGGAACTTCTGATGAAAACCTTATTTTAACTACATATCATATCTTTAAAAATAGCTATAATATTCTGTGTCCTGTGCATGGGCAGGATATTTAACTATTCTTGTCTCTCTCTTCAGTCCAGTGCATTCAGAACAAGCAGCTGTATTTTGCAGACAGACTGTATGATTCCATGAAGGTAGGAAAGACTGTTTTTTCTTTCTACTGTTTTTTTGTTGTTATTGTTAGGAACTTCTGTTCATATGAAATGTGACTGGCATGTGAATAAATTAACAATTACCTAATATTGTTCAAAAGCTTTCTTTTACACTTATGAACCTGGATTATCTATTCAGATTCCTCTGGTATAGGGAAATGTAGGAAAGGGTCCCATTATAAAGATCTTTATTAGATCAGTTGATTATAATTAGCAAAATTAGACACATCTTTTGCATGTAACCAAGAGCTGATAGCAGAAAAAGCTGTTCATTGAATACCAAAATAAGATATTAAATTGGCCTCAAAGCATTTTGTGAAGAAGCAGGATGGAAGAGAAACACCTGGTGACAGGCATTAGGCAATTCCAGGAAGACCTGGTGAGCCAGAAGTGCTGCTTACAGTCTAAGCTAAATTTGTGACTGCAAGTTGGTTAAACACTGCTGATGAGAAAGGTACATTCATGCTCAAATTCTTGGATCATAATAATGACCTTTGTTAGAAGATTTGTTCATTGTATCTTTTGTTGCTTGTCTTGGTTGCCTGTTGCTGTCCTACCATTAATTAGTGGTAACATTTCAGCTATTGCAGCTCTGAATGTGTGTCTGCTTGTAGGGCAAGGGAACCCGGGACAAGGTCCTGATCAGGATTATGGTATCCCGCTGCGAGGTTGACATGCTGAAAATCAAGAGTGAATTCAAGAGGAAATATGGAAAATCCCTCTACTATTTCATCCAGGCAAGTTTTTCACCTTAGGTTCTATATCATGGGCCTTTGCAGCAGTCTTCATTGGATTTGTGGTGCCACTAGAATTCATGGGAGGTGTGTTAGAGGCCACAGTGAGAGTATTCTATTATTTATGTACTGTGGGAAAACCCACCTTTGTCTTCACAGTCTACGGCTGGTACAGTTCCTGTCAGCCTGTTGACAGTGGGCTTTGTGCAATCAACTGATGTGTTCTGAAAGAAAATTGTGTTCACCAGTCCCTAACCTCAGATAAAGAGTCAATAGTTCTGTGATTGCTGAATGAAAATAGAGCATCTAAGTTGCTACTGCCTTTCATTTCAGTGAAAGGAGAAGGCTCAGGGGGAAGGTTCTTTAGCTAGTGACTTTTGTCCATTTCTGTGATTAGACAGGATCTACAGGTGCTAGGTTCTGTTTGATTTGGGGCATAGGTAAAGAGTTTGTGTGTCTGTTTCAAAGCTAAACTTTACCCTAACACCAGCATATGTTACGTTATTCCTTATGCAGATGAATCTGAGTCAAAATCGTAACCCAGAATCTTTTCCTGAAGGTGTCAATGGTAGATTATTAGCAAATTTTTTTACTAGTGCCCTAGTTGCAGTGATCAGTGAGACAGCAGAATCAAGTTCTTCAGCTTTCCTTTGTTGTGTTTCTCATACCCAGATTTCTCTCTTCTTTGCCTTGCATTTGTATTGCAAGAATGATTAAATAATTTCACTTCACACATAAGTAAAACTCAGTCAAAATCGTCTCCTCCAGGCTGAGAAGGTTTCAGTGTGAATCACAGACTGTCCCACAAGTTTAGAATATAATTCATATGCTTTCACATTTTTCTGGCTGTTTTCTGATATGTCTTTTGTATTTTTCTTCCCTTGCTTTACAGCAAGACACAAAAGGGGATTACCAGAGGGCACTGCTGAACCTGTGTGGTGGAGAGGACTGAAAACTGTGATGGAAGAAACCCAAGTCCAAAGAAATGCCTTTTTTGCTCTTCATTTTACTGTAATCCTAGAAAACCTGAATTTCCTAGCTACCCTTGACTTGACTTGCACTTTCCCTGCCAGAGCCCTGCTGCAGTTTGCTCCCCTGCGCTGTGCATGCCCCTCTTGGCAGCTGTGCTTGGTTCTGCCAAAGGTCCTAACAGTGTATAGCCAGAGACACTAACCCTCCAGGGAGAAATGGGCTCACAGGTGCTTGTGAAAAGCTCTGCCTCTCTGTGCAATGTTTCTAATAAAACAAATAAAAATGACGTTTTACTTTAAGAGTGCAGGTCTTTCAGACCTTAATTTGAGAACTGTCTGAACAGTTGACATGTATTTAGCTCTTGCTGTCCATTTTCTGTGTTGTTTCCATCCTCCTCAGGTTCACTAGTTGTGGATGAAAACTTATCTTCTTCCTTCAAGCCCTTCATTTGTTTAATGATTCACTTTGTCAGCACATCCAAAACCATTCTCTTCACTGGTTGAGGGAGATGATCCTGCCCCTTCCCTTGGCCCTGCTGAGGCCACATCTGATGTGCTGTGTCCAGTTCTGGGCTCCACCGTACAGAGAGACATGGAGCTCCTGCAGTGGATCCAGTGGAGGGCGCAAAGATGATTAAGGGAATGATTAAGGCATCTCTCTGATGAGGAGACACGGGGGGATCTGGGCCTGTTAAGTCTGGAGAAGACTGAGAGGGGATGAAATTACCGCTTATAAACATCTACGAAGTGGTTGCCAGTTGATGGTACAAGACCCTTTTCAGTGGTTTCCAGCAACAGGATGAGGAGCAGTGGCCATAAATTAAAACACAAGAAGTTTCACTTCAGCAGAGGAAGAACTTCACACTGCACTGGGAGAGCTACGTGGGGTTGGTCATGGAGTCCTCTGCTCTGGAGACATTCCAAACCCACTTGGACGTGTTCCTGTGTCACCTGTTCCAGGTGACCCTGCCTGGGCGGGCGGGTTGGATGATTTCCAGAGATGCCTTCCAACCCTGACTGTTGTGTGACCATCTTTCCCCTATATAAGTGCCACTGAAACCTGAGCCATAGCCCTCTCTGCCTGTCTGTGGGGCCAACACTTGAATCGCCCCTCAGCGTTCGGGCGCCCTTGGTGTGCCTGTCCGCGAGGGGGAATGGTTTGAGGCTGAGCAGCCCGTCAGTACCGGAGTGTTTTCCGCAGAGCCGTGCCCGGCAGCGCGGGAGGCGCTGCCCGGCGTGAGGGGCGAGCTGCCGCCTCCCGCGGCGGGGCCGGGCCGAGGGCGCCGCGGACCGTCCCCACCCGGCCCACTCGAGAGCCAGTGGGACGCGCTGCTCTTGTCCTGCTGAGACACCTTTTCCTGCTACAGCGTGAAACTCGCACCCGAGTGTTGGGGAAAAGCTGTGAAGAGCGAAACTTTGGCGCCCAGCCGGGAGCGCGGCGCGTTGCCCTCACGGGTGGAGGCTGAGGGCAGCGGCTCTCGGGGGCCGGCGGTCTCATCCTCAGCACAACTTCGTACAAGTATCTCAGAGTTCTCGGGAGGTAAAATGCTTTCCTCTTTTCACAGCTGTTGCTCCTTTGGAAATGCAAAACTGCCTGTAACTAACAGGTGTTTCCCCTCTGTCATTATCTGGTTTGTAGCTGTCTGTTTCAAAGGCTCGGGTACTCCCCAGAGATAAATTTGATCTCCTCAGAGATGAGAAGCACACAAGGAGGCTGTTTGATGCCACCATTAGAAGGGTGAGAGATTTTGCTAAAATATCATTGGCTGTAGACCACAAAAAATATTTGGTGTGAATATACTGCAATTGGTAAAATATTGATAACTTAAATGCACAAATGATACAATTTTTCACAAGCGACTCCAATTTAATGCCTGATGGAGCAGTGTCATTCACACCTGTTTACAAAATGCCTCTTTGTCTAGATTTGTACATTTAAAAACTATTGCTGAGATAGCAAATCACTCTTTGAATCTAATTAGGTAAGTCATCTCTATAAATGTTGCTTGCTCAAATGTGGCCTTATAAAAGAAATCAAACAGCAAGCATTTTTCCAGTCTGTGGAATGAACAACTAGAATTTGATGGCTGGCATGCTCTGCCTCACTGCCACAGGATGTTCAAAATTGCAGGCTGTTTTTCTTCAGGAGCAACACCATGTTAAATAAACCAGCAGGATTTCAAAGGCCAGGACTATTTTTACTGATTTTAGACTAGGAAGAACATTAGTCTCCTGTGATATCTAGAAGATTTCTAGAAATTCAATTTGTTTGTTGGCATTGTTGATTTTTTTTTTTAATTACTGGCTTATTGATGCTTCAGATAGGAATAAATTTCCAAGCTTTGATGTTGATCCTGTTGTTTGGTTGCAGCCTTACTAATAAGCAAGATGGGTCTCTGTCTGTGATGTATTGCAAAAATCAGGTCTCCAAGACTTTGAAAGATAGGAATACCTTGAAGAATGACATTTGAGAGTGTTGCAACATTTTATTAGTAGATCCCCACATGGCAAATTAAATACATTATTAAAGACAAAATTTCAGTTGCTGATAATGTAATTTAGACCATTATCTATTTATGTTCAGAAGTAGGAGGAAAAAAAAAACCAACAACAACACAAAAAACCAAAACCCAAGTCTTCAAATTTGCTATTCCCAGTCTTTGTTGTCCCAAGAATCTGTGAAGAAATTTTTTCCAGGTCAGATCTTGATTCAGTTTCTTGTGTTTGCTCTTTGGTGTTCCCATTCCAGTAGCACAGGCAATAATCAGAAGTTTTACCGTTCATAGGCATTGTTTCTTTAACTACCCCAAATTGCACAGCAAATAGCAGCAGTAGAATTTAATTTGATGTGTTTCTTACCAGACCTACTATTATCTCAGGCATTGGAATATAGAGCTAAAGAACTGTGCCTCTAGGCCAGTATTAAACTTACTAAGAAAGTAGTGTTGTCTCTAACATGGAGAGGTGGTTCCTTGTCCTATGTATAAGGGAGACTTTACTGTTTATTTCAGAACTCCCTTACTCATAATTCAGAGGAGTTTTTCTAAATCAAGGTCTAAACAGTCCAATTCAGAGTAACAGAACATCACTAAAGAATAGTTGTCATGCTTGTACTAAGCCATATTCCTTATTTCTGCAATTCTTGCCTTCATTTGCACAGCACCTAAACATCTTATAAACAAGCAGTTTATTAGTGCTGTGCATTGATGAGGAGTCATGCAAGATGTTTTACAAGTGAGAGTCAGATGTAGAATGGTTTAATTAAATTTAAACGTAGTTCAGCCAAAACTGAAGTCAACATTTGCATTCTGGTAAAAGAAAGGGCTCCTTGCAAGATGGAAGCTTTGAGTCCTTGCTGTTAAAACACATTTTTAATTAATATTAAAAAGTTGTCTATTTTTCCGTTTCTCAAACGGGTAATGTCTGCTCCCTGAACACTGCTTGGACTGTTTGTAGGGATTGTTCCTCAAGTGCAGCTTTTTCCCACTGCAGTGCGGACAGATGCACCTTCAGTCGCACCACCCCGAGCAGCAGAGCTGGTTTTGGTTCGGGCGGGTGTCCGGCGTGTCTCCGTTTCTGTGCTGCGGGTCGGAGAAGGAGCCGTGCCCGGGGGCGCTCGGGGCTGAGCCGCTCCGGCTGCACCGGCAGCGGCCGCGCACCAGAGGGAGCTCGGAGAAAGCGCCAAGGCGTCCCCGCAGCCGAACACCGCAGCACCGGGAGCTGCGACCGCTCTCCTCGCGTCTGAGCTCCGCTCTCTCCAAACATTTACATTCCCCGACTCTAAGCCGTCGTGTCAAAAATTCAGTTTCATCTTCCAGTATTTTTTTACTGCTCTCCTCTCTGAAATACTTCACCAATTTTAATAATTGCTCTCTTTAGGTGTAGGCAAACGAAACGATTTCTTAAGTTCTAATCATGTTGTGAGTTTCCAAAACGGAGAGGTTTTCTACAAAGAACCTTTCAAAGAGTGGGTTAATAATGACAATAAGTGTAAAGAAATTTTCTTCCTTTTCTTTAAAGGAAGGGTTTTGATCTCGAAATTATCTGCTGCTTCCTAACTTAAATCAGGTATACTGTTATTTTCTGTAGAAAATTAAACACAACCCCATATCTTTTGCTGTGTTCATAATATAAAAATTGTGAGCATTGCGCATTCGTTGCTTTTCCACTATCTTTGCTAATTAAAAATATGTGTTACTAAAGTAGTTTTTCTAAAGGAGATATTTCAATATATTCATAAATAATCCTTCTTTCCTCTCACTTTGATCTGTTCACAATAGGCAATGTTTTTAAAATTTTAATATAGAAAGAATTTGCTATGTGAGGTGGCTGTTTAAGTTCATCTTATACATTTTTAGGATCAAGAAAAGAAGATATTCATTAATCTTCTTTTGAGTATGGCTTATGTAAGGTCCTGTTTAATGCTGAACACAGAAAATAAAAAAACAGCTCAAAACAACCAACACCATATGTAGCTATTTAAGAAGGTTGATTGGAACACAGACTATTGCTGTGACTCCTTATTGAATAACAGCTATGGAATGTGGGCAGTACTCTCCTCTGCTAGGTGTCCTTAGCTGGCTGGCTCATACTGACTTATTTTCAGGTAATATTTTACTTGTAAGGTAAAAATAAAATGTAAGGCTTGTGAAGCCTATTTCTAAGTATACACAGAACTTATCTGAAAGCCAGCTTTTAATATTGCTGTTGGATACTCATTGAATCTATTTTATTACTTCTGTACTAAGATCAGGATGAATTATGAGATTCAAAATAGGCATCTTATTAAATGCTGAACTTAGCAAATATTTTGTGATTACATTCCATGAAAGAGACAGTTTTATTTAAGGTAGCTTTAATAGATT